TGTACGTATATATATATACACGTATATATATGTATATATATACATATAATATACATGTGTATATATGTACACGTGCGTGTATATATATATGTGTATATATACGGTGTATACGTATATATATGTGTATATGTATATATATGTACGTATATATATACACGTGTATATATATATATAGGGCCTATATACTTTTTAAGTTATGTATCATGCATAGGAACGTTGACGCCTGCAAGGCTCTGGTTTTATAAAATATAAATATAATTTAGCTTAGTATAATGCAAAATTTCATCTACTTTGATCATGGACAACGTTTTCGGAGCATGGGTCTTCTCTTAGCATGTGATCCCTTTCAACGGCAAAGAGAGCAATTAATTGCTGTGCTGGATGTTACCACAGCTGCACAGGATGGTGATCGCGCTTCTTAAAACTGATGGTGGCCAGCGACTCCAGCTGCGACTACATTGGAAATAACTAAAAAAAAAAAATCATATTTTTTAACGTTATATTTGTTCATCGACTCGTAAAATCACTGCATTGCGAAATGTCTCACCTATGCACGGTACTAGGCCTACTGAACGTCGACGTCCCAGTACCCAACCGACTATTCTTTTTTAGCATTGACCAGGGACTTCTCCTAGTTTACGTACTTCTGTCAGTTCTGGCACACACAGGCGGCGTACAAAGAGAGCAGGTAAACAAGTCCGTACTTATGTATAGGGCCGCACAGTCAGATGTATAGGGCCGCACAGTCAGCCGTATGTTATGATTCATTTTAGAGAGTTGTCTGGACACGTTTTACGGTGCATCCAATCGGCCATAGTTAAAAGGGAGCAGCAAAGGCCAAAACGGAATATCAGCATCCAAACGGCATGCTATTCAAACGGTGTTTTCAGACGCGTTTTGGTAGAACAATAGAAAACGCGTCTGAACACTGATTTGTCGTCTGGAATAATTTGTCGATCGCGCCTAACTGTAGTGTACCACAATCACCAAAAAGTAACCTGTAAAAATATACATATATTCAACAGGAACAATAGCTTACTTTACATTATCATATGAATAGGTGTAAAGTTCAAAATTTCATTTTCATGCTTATTGATTTAGAGCCAAGTTGCGAAAAGTTGTATTTTTGAAACTGCTGTTCATGCGTAAAAGCATACTTGTCTTCTGAAGTGTGTAAGCAGTTCGTTCAGCTCTGCAGCAGACACATCTGTAGTAACAACAGAAAATTCTTCTACATTGTCTGCGAAATGATTTATTTATCATAAAGTAGAGTACAGGATTCAAAAGTGAGTTTAGATATGGCAGAAAGTACTCGATCAGGTAGAGAATCAAATCACGGCTGTTAGAGTCTGTTCTATCACCTGTAGTAAAACTCAAATGAATTTTGAGCACAGCCCTTGGAAGCCAACAAATGATGTACACGATAATGACAAGAAAAAGTCGTTTAGCTACTATGGTTCTTGTGTTGTTAATGAGTTTCTGACATCCAATTTGCCGTTTAGAATGTTTCTTTCTCTTTGAAAGTAAGTAAAATATCTGTAAATATGCTGCAATGATTATAACTAAAGGAATGTACATAGCTACCAGTGAATGTAAAATTGCAGTAGTAAAGAACAATGGGAATGCTGTTGTTTCCATAAGTGTGCACCTAGGACCAACAAAGATCATCAATGATGGAGATGCCACAATAACAGACATTACCCAAATACCCACAACCATAAATTTCGCTTTCTTAGCATCAATTTTTGTTTCAAGTGGGTAACGAATGGCAAGATACCGGTCTATAGAGATTCCAACTAAAATCCATGAAGAGCAAAGTAATGTCTGGTTCCAAATAAACAGCGAGATTTGACATTCAATATCTTTAATAAAACGGTAAATACTTGTAACTTCTAGGTAAAGATGTAACGGTATTACAGAAATGCAGACAATTAAATCCGATACAACCAAGCTGCAGAGAAAGTAGTTTGCTGTTGACTGCTTTTTGAACCGATTTTTGTAGTAAACTACTAATACTAGAATATTACCTAGAATTCCAATCACCATGATTGCAGACAGGAGTGACATCTCTATATATTGGTTGAGTATGCTAGGTCGACGAAACTCAAGTGATGATGGATGAAGTTGAACCTCATTAAAGCTCTCTCCTGTTGGTTTTAGCAGTGTTTCCATGGTATCATTTGGCCATTTAGTGTACATAACATCATTTGTTATCCAGACAGAATTTGTGGCATAATTGTCTGTGCAATCACATGCCGAAGTAGTCATTATTTTAGAATTATGACAACAAAAATTCAGATTTAGTTTAGTGTAATATATACATCATATTGAAATTTTTTCTCATTGCATTAATTTCCCATGAATAAGCAGATATAGTTTCTGCCCTCCAATTTAGTGCTTATTTCTTGAACTTTTTTTTTTTTTATTTTATTTTATTTTATTGAATATATATATATATATATATATATATGTATTATATATATATACATATATATGTGTATGTGTGTATATTCATATATATGTATATAGAATATAATATAACGTAACAGTAAAGAAACTCAAATACGTAAGATGTTGACTTTAGAAACACTAAAATTTATTAGGCGAATATTTCGGCTACTCCTGTAGTCTTTGTCAACGCTTGACATAAAATGTATGTATTAAATATATATGTATGTATGTGTATATATATATATATATATATTTTTTTTTTTATTTATTTATTTTTTATTATATAAATAAATAAATTTATAAATAACAAATAAAAGTAACAAATAAATTTAGTTGTATCGTTCATATATATAATTGTCCAAAACAATACCAATAATTGGAATTGAATCAGTTTCAGAAATTGGATTATCATTGATCTTGATTGAGCCATTTATATTAATATTTTTATTTCTTGAATGAAAAATAATAAATTTAGTTTTTTCAGTATTAACTGTTAATTTGTTGGCATTGCACCAGTGTTTTTCCTTCTGTAAATGGATATTGTCTTCATCAAGATCTAACATATTACCAACTAAAAGTTTAAATAAGTTTGAATCATCGGCAAAAGCCTAAAATTTTAAAATACCAGTAGAATTTGGTAGATCATATAGATTAAAAATAAAATAACACCCAGTACCGATCCCTGAGGAAGACCGCATTTGATAGCTAACTTGAAATTATTAGAAGATACAAACTGAAACCTGTCAAAAATCTAATGCAAAGGGCGATCCCTCACTCCATAATGACTTTTATTTAGAAATTAAAATATCGTGATTAGTGGTATCAAATGCTTTAGAAAAATCGATAAAAATTCCAAGGACACATTTGAGTTGGAGATTATTAATTAGATGTATTAAAGAAAATTTTGTGCTAAATTTTTTCCTGAACCTGTATTGGTGTTAAAAAAATAAATAAAATTTCTCTAGATATTTTCCAAATGATCATTATTCAATTCAATTTCTATTCAATTTATTCAACAAATACCCCCAGGCTGGAGAAGGTAAAAATATATAAAATACAATAAAACTTCACAATACAAAATTAATCAGAAGAAACTCGCATCTATTATACAACATCCAATGGTACGGAAATGTAAAATGCTCTTGTTAAGTTAATGATTGTATGAATATCGTTATTGTATAAGCAATTCTTTGCACTGTCTCAGATTCCATGGTTTACGCAATTGTGACTCTTTATATCAGCCTTTAAATGTTTCTTGTATACATTATTGAATATAACAGAAACAAAGGATACATTTCTATCGATATTACTCTTCTATACGACATTATTTTTTCTGCTAGATAAACAATTTTGCTTTAATAGAATCTGTTTTTTTGTTAAGAGATGGCTTTAAATCTTTAATACATAGCATTTCTTTAATGAGGCAGTATAATTTTGATTTACATTTAGATAGAACGCTGAAGTAGTTAATTACTTCTTTCAGGTGTTTACCTATGTTACCCTTACTATGTTCATCAATACGTTGATAGAGGTGTCGGCAAGTGTAGCCGACATATCTTGAATCACACAAGCCACATTGGAATTTATATACAGTACAACGCATTGTTCATTAACAATTTTGGGTTTCCTTTCCTTCTTCTTTAAGATTTCACCTACTTTCTTATTTGTAAAGACTGGAATAATTTCTTTGTTAATTTTTGAGCTTAGTTGTTTAAGTTGTTTATTTACAGACGAAGACGAAATTTGATCCTTAAAAGGTAGTACAATCCTAATTGGCTGCTCAGAACTTTTCTGACTATTACTACTAGGAAGAGGCTCATTGTTAGATTATCTAATGATTGAATGAAATCATTAATGATACTTCGAATAAGGCCAACTGGATATTTCAGTCTTTCAAACGTAATTTTGATTTCATTAATTTTATTCTGAAAGATGTTAAAAGATCTTTGTAAAAAACATTAAAGATAAATAGCAATGATAGGCCATCTTGCCTTGTGCCTTTATGGATTGCAAAGTTTCTACCGATTTTGTTATTCCACTTAAAGCTAACAGAAATGTTAGCTAACGCTAACAGAAATGTTAGCGTACCACACATACATACATCTCCACCAGTCATCATTTATAACTTTGCTTAATTTATAAAATAATATAGAATGAGGTAATTGATCAAATACCCCTTCGGCATCGAGGGAACAAGAGTACACATTTGACCCTTAATTTTTGCAGTATGTAAACACATTGTTAACTGTGGCAGCCGCCATCGCGGTACCTCTACCGTTTACTTAACCATATTGAGATTTATCAATGTTAACGTCAAAACATAGATCAAGTAGGCACAACTGAAATAGTTTAGATAGAGTATTTGATGCAATAATGGGTCTATAATTTGCATCAATATTGGTAAAATAATGGTCATATACTTTAAATTGTTCAAGACTAAGAGTGAGCTTTATCTGCAAAATTAACACAAAACAAGTCTTTCTCCCAGTCAGCCTTAGGGAACAGAACGGTTGATTTGTAATCTGTATCAACGTTCACATTGAGAGTATGAGAAACCTCAATCTGAATTGAGGTTAAAATAGGTAGATGGTCACTGGTATTATCATGAAATTCATCAGAAAGTATAGTACAAGATTTGACTTTTTCATACGAGTATTCATTAACAATGACATGATCAATGTAGCTTCTATTGTTCCCTTTGAAAAACGTATAGTCAACATTCTGTTCAAAAGCAAAGTTACAGATAAAGTATACTATTGGAATTAAAAGGGTGGCGTTTAAACCAATTACAATTAATTTAACAAGAGTGTTGAAGAGAGGCGTTAAAATCACCTACAATCATTACGGGACTTGATTCGCAATTATCAATATTACTCTGAAGCCATGGTTGTGGCTGAGGTAAGAAAAATTAAGATTACGTTGCCTGTAGATGGCTGGAAATGCCACTCTCAGGATTGGAATATAATTTTTTCTCCATTGTTTAAAAATAATTTTTAAATATTTACGGGTGCCCGGGCCGACTGGGTTCCCCTTGAATTGGGGAATCCTCTACCGCTCAGGTGACCTAGGGTTTTAAAACAAATATTGCTTATTACGGAATTTCTGTAAAAAGATAAACAGATTCTTGAGAGAGAGGTGGTGGGGCTGGTGGATATAGTAATTTACCTACTTTTTATGTATTGAAGTGCCATTTTCTTGCATCTAAAATCCCCAATTCTTCAAATTTTCTCACTTCGGCCTCATCCATGATGGGGCTCAGGTGGATGTAGTAATTTTCGATGTATTAAATTGCCATTTTCCGGCATCTGAAAGTCTCAAATTCTTACAATTGTCTTTAATTACCTCAGTCTCAACCATGGTGTACTGGATGGATGGATTGGTAGTTTTCATATTTTAATGTACCCAAGCGCTGTTTTTGGGCAACTATAAAGTCTCAAATTCTTAAAATTTACTCATCTGCCAACAATGTCCTATGGGAATGTTCAAAATAAGTGGTTGTTTTGAAAATGGTCAACCTTTTATTTTTGTTTCTCGCCCTCCTTCGCCTGGGCGAACTGGGCTAAGGTCTGGATCCACGCCTGTTAAGAGTCTGGCTTTTTCTGAGTGTACCTCACTGTATCCAGTGTCCTAGAGTATTGACATGGGGAGGGGGAGCCAAAAAATGTAGAAGTACACAATTATGTCAGCCCGCCACTGATCTCAACAGCTTGAAACTGGCCACCAGCTTAAAAGTGTTGAACCTGGGCCAACGCAGTATATTTTACACAAAACCGTTCCAATACCAGCTAATTAGCATAAAAATGTTATTTTCAAATGGAAAACATTGAAAATCCATTTCATGTCTATTTTAACAACAGCTCCACTATGTGTGAGCGTTTTTGCTAGTTGTATGAGAGAAAATGCCTATTAGTGAAATCTTTACCGATATCCATAGATAGGTCTCTGTGGTTTAATGTTAAGCTTCCCAAACTATGGGTCGTAACCCAAAAGTGGGTCACCAAACTATTGTGAGCAGGTTTGCAAAACACTTTTAAGTGTTTAAAAATTCATATGTGCTAATTTACACAGTTGATGTAAAGTCTTTAAAAGATCTGACGAATTGAAAACTGTACTGGTGAACATTAGAATAATATTTATATTTTATGTCCACAATGAATATATCTCACTACAACATAATTGTGTAAATATAATCACTACTGCTTAACAAAAAGTATAGTCGTAAACTTAAAACAGAAATGCTGTCATTTGAGCTATTATGAATAGCATTTTTGTCCAAATAAATGCTAAATACTGCAAGTTTAAGTTACTGTAAGTTTCCCTATATTACGAATTCCTGGATCCGTCACTGATAACAGTAAGCAAAAATCCATGGTGAGTGACTTTGACAACATGAACATGCAATTTCGAGGCTAGTATGGGAATTAAGTTTGAGAAGCAAGGGTCTAATGGGTATGGGTAGAGGTTGCAGGTCTGAATCTTGCCACAGACAATTGTTTTCATAAAACTGAAGTAAAGGAATTTTTCGTTGATGAGCTATGCTTGATTTTGATTTGATTTTTAATTTGATTTGATATCTTTTTTTTTCTGGATAATGCATACATATGTACTGGTCTTTCATGAGGTCCAGATTTGAAATTTACATAACATAATACAAAATTTTATTTTACAAAACAAGGAAAAACATGAATGAAATTAATATTGGTTCTTAAATAAGTCTACATTCATTGACTTAAAATTCTGACTTATGTCTAGACTGGAAGTTTAGACGAACAATAATGAAAGTTCTTTTTCCTTGAACATTTTCATGCTGGAATAACTAAATTATGTGATGATTGACTGCATGTATTTTTAAAACTGAACAGAATTCATAAAATGAAATTTGGAAGAAAGTGATCAGGGGCAAAATTTAAAAACTAGATC